GATGATTGCTGAATAAATAGTAACTTTATGCAATAAAAAAAAATTTAATTCTATTCTAAAAAAAACCTGCGAATAAATTTGTAAGTTATGGCTAATCTTTCATAAAAATACGAAGAAGCCGATTTGTATGGTTAAATCAATTTATTAACTTAATAACGCCATTAAAATATTTTAATGAGGTTTAATTATAAAACAGTATTATTTTTAACTTTGAAGATTTTTTATTAATCAAACTTTAAATTGACAAAAAAAATTTTGTCTTAAATTTTATAATTTATTATTGTTAGCGTTGTTTTTTCAATTGACAAACAAATACAATTAGATAAATATTACTTAATTTTTTGTACGTTTTGATTTTTATTATTACGTAAACTTTAAATTTATTACACTAAACAAATTTTATTATTTAAGGACATGATTTTTTTTTCATTGTGAATAAATTTTATGAATACAAAAGTATGTTCAGTGATCTTAATTCGTTGACGTTGTGGTTCTATTGTTTTGTCGGTTGACGTCAAACTGAAAACTTATTACAAATTTACCTTTGCTAACGGGATGGTAAAATACGGATTGTTTGTCGGAGTCTCGAATAACAAGTAGATAATTCATGATTCGTATAAATTATGAACACAATTTCATGTCAAATGTCATCGTAATATTTTAAACCTATAACGGTAACAAATTATGCAGTACTGTTTTTGAATTTAAAATTATAGTTTTATGCAAATAGAGTTATAAATTGTTAATAAAGACTTCACTTTACAAAGCAGAAACAAACTTTTGGCACATTGGAAAAATTACCAAATATGTATATTAAGTTAATTTTAATAACTTAATATCATGAAGATAAAAATGTTGTTTCTGTAAAAATAATTAAAGTAAAATTAAAAATATACAAATATCGTTATGCATTAATTCGTATAACTAACATTCAACAATATTGAAATCAATTAATTTTAAGTAATCAAAATATTAACTTTTAGTTCAAAAATTATTTTACTTCAGTAACAACTGATCTTAACACATTTACTCGCAAAGCCCATAAATATTTAAACTATAATTTTAATTAAAACATAAAGTATGTTTATTCATTGAACAACATTTTTTGTTTTTCCTAGTTTTTTCAGAGATTAATTTATGTTAACAAATTGAAAACCTCTTGATTATTAGCAATAATTAAGAACATCTCATTAACTATTGAATATCTTAAATATATTAGAAGTCGATAAAAAATCTAATTATTGAAATATTTCATTAAATACATTTAAAAAATCTGATTACTTTTTATAAATGATAAAAATTCATGAATTTATACAATAACACAGTTTTTTATTTAAATAATTATACATTTTAAATGATAATATATAGCGTGGAGACTATTGAATCTTTAACAACACAAACAAACAAAATTTTCAAATTCAGTGGTAAAATATATTATTATGTAAATATTTTCATTTCCTATTATAGTCGTTTAATTACTAAAACTAGTTTGTGAAATTATAGAAATAGCAATTTTTTTAAATCATAAAATAAACAAAAGCGCGTAATAGGGACACAAAATTTTTTTTTCAACTTACAAGTTACCATGAAAACGTATAAAACTATAATTTACTCATTTACAGGTGATTATGAATAAAAAAAACATTTTTCAATAAGAAAACTTCGAAAATTTCAATGAAAAACCTTATAAATAAACAATTTATTAGAAATATTAATATAATTCTACATAACTTATCATATTTAAAGATGACAACTAATAAAAGTAAATTAACGAATATAATACAATTCATAAACAATTCTTATTAATCCATGTTTCTGCAAGTGCAACGTAATACGATTAAAATTATTTTAATCCGATCCCTATTAATTGATATTATATTGATATAATATATTATAGAGCGTTCAGTAAGTAGGGACACGGGCTCTATTGTTTTCATTATTTGTAACAAATTATATGTTTCCTTACTTACTGAACATTTTGTATATCATTATTGTATTATAGCCATTTTATAATTCAGATACGTTGACGGGGAGACAATAAACCATCAATTCTATGAAAAATTTGACTGAAAATCTTAAACTCAAAAGCCATTAACGCTGACTCATTGGTTTCAGTTCATCATAGATTCAAAGTTTTTTTAAATGAAAAAACACCTAATTATAATACTACATTCTATGACACAAAGCTAGCAGTAATTATTTTTTAACTATATTGATGTTCATTTGCTTTCAGCAGTAAAGTGGACAAGATATAAAGTCGTCAAAATATTATTTAAAAAAAATAATATTTTAAAGTAGGTATAATGCGAGAGCTACATGTGTATTACCTATGTAATAGTATTGATTCAGGAGGAAGGGCTAGCTCTAAATATTGTAGTAGTGTTATTTAGTTTTATTATAGAATATTTTAGTTTTAGAGAAAATCTTTTGTTTTTTTAATTGTTCAATTGAATATCAATATCATTCAAATGAATTTTTTATAATATTACAAATAAAATCTCTATCAGAGTGAACCTTATTCATTTAGATGGTCGGTCATTAATGTCTTTTATTTTATTTTTTTTTTGAAATAAATTTGTATTCATATATATAAATATATAGAATTTAATACATACAGTGGTTACATAGCGCAGTTGAGTACATTTAACACTAGTGTATATTTATAATGAATACTTTACATACTCCGCCCGCGCTATATACTTTGCTATATTCAATATAATTAAATTCTTGTAAATAATTTTACAAAACAAAACCATTACCTTTTCAGCTAATAATTAAAGCTAGAAAATATAATATTTATTATTTTTTTATTAAGAACAAATAATGAAAAATATGTTTTTAATGTAGTCCTCCAAAACTGTACAAATTAAAAAAAAAAATAAGTAATGCAACATATTCGCTTGATCAAAAGTTTTTAAAGATACATTGTGGAACACCCTATTCATACAAATAATTTTATAATGATGTTTACATTATAATTGACAATGTTAGTTAGGAAAGAGTAACCGCCAATACACAATAAATATATTAACAATTATTAGCGATATAAATAATATACAAAAAAAAAATTAATAATAATATATTCTTAATGACTTGAAAACGTAGCGTTAAACGAAAAGATCTAAGCATCACTTCATTCTGTTCAGTATTAAGGTATAGTCTGTCATCAAGTGAGGGCTTCAGTTGAAAATTATGTGTTTATTAACAAATATAGTGTTTTATAGTAACTTATTATACTTTTTTAAATATGGGCCTAAACGAAAGATACATTATTAAATATTAGAATGAGTATTTTTTTATCAAATAGGAATATTGTTAAATGTGAATCATTCTTCCGTGAAATAGTATAAAAACCACTTACAAGGCTTTACAAAAAGCCAACAATATATTGATGATTTAACCTCTTGGCTAATATGTGATCATTATATATACAAAATAATACATGTGAGTAAATGATAAACATAGTGTTAATAGTGAAACAATAAGTTAAAATTAAGAAATAGCACTCATGTTAAAGTTGATGTTACATAAACTCGTAATTTAAAATTAAACCAAAGATATTTTGATTATGAACTAATTGTATCTTTATTTTGTGATTTTTTTATATAATTTTAAATAAACAAGTATGATTGTTTAATTTTTATCCATTCAGAAGCAAAAATTGGATGGGAGACTATGACCCCTATACCAGTATTTTAATGAAAATTATACACCAGTCAGAACTAATTAAAATTTTGCATCAGGAAAAATCATGTGCATTAATGTTGTGATATGATGTGACCATAATGTATTGTCATTAGTTGAAGTGTTGGAATCAGAGAGATAGCCTCCCACAACTTATTTTAATTAACATTTTTTATCCCTCGTTTTTGAACAAGATTTTGTCCGAAATAGTAAATTCCCTTTAATATTATACAATGTACAATATGTTCGATTTTTTATTAAAATTTATATTTTTAAGAAGGAATCTATAAAAAATCCCAATTACTTTATTGCATAATGGCAAAAGTCTATTACAAACGAAATCACTTGACTAATTCAGTTGATAATTATCATTTGTTACTACGCAGAAAAAAATTTAAATAAGTAGCTAGACATATTTTAAGGAAAAACAAAAATATATTCAAATTTAATATTGACTATAATATGTAAAGTGAATTATAACAACCAATAATAATTTTAATTATAAATTAATAATTAGCAAGTTATTCCGATATAATATTAAATATTTTTTTAAATATATATAAGTAAAATTTTATCCATAACGTACTTTTATAATAATTATAAGAAAATCAAACACTCTTAAAATGTTAAGCTCCCACTCGATTGTTTGATTGTTATAAGTTTTAAATGTGTATTCACTTGAAGTAGGTGTAAATGACATTTGCAACCATAAAGGACATATGGATACTTAAAATTGTATAAATAAAACTGTATAACAAATTCCGACGTACTATCATAAAATTAAACACTTGGTCAAACATTATTCCGAATAATTTGTAATTAAACAAATCAACAAGTTTTAATAAGTAGTGCATGTTCAATGATGCAATATGTTAATTGTCTCATTTAAAACACGCTGTTCCGCATAGTTTAGTTTTACAAATTAATTCGACTTATAACTATTATACCTAATCCATATTCAGTAATAGTTATAAGAATACACCATAAAATATGAAAACATTTAATATTGTTTGCCAAGAACTTTATCAAACAACTATCAACAAATAATAATTATGGTTACTGGAAACTAAACAAAGTAAAGCGTACTGACAAAATATTTCTGCTAACACATTTAACATGATGCTTATATTATTATTGTCTGGTTCCGGTTAATCATTAAAAACAATACTCAAGGGCATATCCGAGAACGTTCTAACTTACACTGGCTACGTCTTGCCAAAGCAACACACAACTCCATTTTTACAAAAACAAACCAACAAATACAGTATATTCGGTTAAGCGTAATTAATTAACTGGATAATTAAATAAAAAAAACATTAAAATATTATTAACTGGTTTATTATCATTGAACTTTAATACATAACATTTTATGACTACACATTTAAAATAAAATACCTGGATTTTGGTAAATATATAAATCATACAGTAATAATAACTTAATTTTACGGTACTAATGAATATCTTAATAAAAATGCGACAATTTATATCTAATCTTTCAATACAAAACGAATACAAAAAAATCTGTTTCAATACGTACGGGTTACAGTGATTTGACGATATAATAATTAAACTAAAAATACATTTTTCATAAAAATCGCGATAGAATAAGGATCGAATGAAAAAGTTTACCGATTAAACAAATCATTTACTGCATAAATGATAAAGTAATAGATATAATTTTGTAATTATTTACTATAGTACAAATATTTCACGATCAAATTATACAACAGAGTACAGCAGTAAATGATGTAGGAAAACACGTACTGTATTTTGCGTAGTGTATAATGGAAGATGGTAAAAAAAAATGTCTATTACTATGTTAATTATATACTCTACGTGGTTAACATTTTAATTGTAACAGGCACGAAATAATACCGGGAAACAATTTTTGTTATTTATGATTATTTTTATTTAATTAATACACCACAACTAAGTACATTCGTAATTTACATCATTACATACACGAGGGTATGATATCTTAACAAGTAATTACACTGGTCCCGTAATTCTAAGGCACATGAGGCCAAACACTTTTAGTATAAAAAAAAAATCACATTCATAGTTTACAATAAAAATAATAAACCATACTAGGTATCACATTGACGTATAAAAAAAAACAACTGATTTATATTAAATTGATAATAGTAGTTGTAAACATAGTAATAATAATAATAATAATTACCTATATATTTTACTTAGAAACAAGTACATTTTACATAAGTTATATTTAAATAGAATACCAAGTCTAAAAATCATGTAAAGGCTTAAGTGAAAAGCGACTTAACTTTCCCCACACCTTGCACAACGATATATACTACGGTTTATACATTTACTTATAAATAAAAATATATTTAACATTTATAACGTAAGCCCCGTACACAATAGTCAATATTGTAGAAGTACCACTAATCCTTTTTTTTTAGATATTTTATACGTATTGATTGGTAATAACAATGACCAAATGTTTAAAAAAAAACGTTTACTTATACGCCGGAGAAGTGTTTTGACTTCTCATAAGTTTGCATAATAGAAAAAAATACGTTGAAAAAAGGCTTAGATATACCAATGAATACAATATTATTTAAATAATTCTACAGGTACACAGTACACAAATATTGGTCCGGGGCAAAAATAAAAGGAAAATAAAAGAGAGATTTACAAATTGTTCACTAAAACATCCATGTAGATGAATTTTGGGCGTTTGAGCAATTATAGGGCGTCCGATCACAGAGAGCGACAGTGGCAGAGTCAGTGGCGAAACGTCGTCGGTGTCGGTCAGTGAGCGCCGGCCGTAGCCCTGTGCACCAGGTCAGGCCTAGATAATCCGTTGCCGTTAATATAATAATCCGACTGTTTGCTATAGCCGTTTAATAACGTCTTTCCGTTGGCGGTTGGTTTCGAGTCGGCCGACACCTGTAAACAATAAAAATTATTTCCGAGGTCAGACGTCGTTTTGCACCAGTATATGTGTGATACTGTTGCGCAGCAAACAACTGACTTAAAATTAAGTAAGTTGAAATTATTTTATCTCAGAGGACAAGGCCGGGCTGCCGTTTAATATGCGAAGTACAGACGATCAACACTTTTAAATGTTTGCCAACAAGTTTCAATGCTGTAATCGTGCCGACTAATAATTATTAAGGGGCGTCACTTCAGAAATCGGTGGACTGAGACTAACTAGCCGAAATTTCCGACAGAAAATTTAGTGCTCTCCTAGCAACATAAGGGAAGAAGGTAGCGCCTAATTTTTGAAGAGCTCATCCATTTTCATTTTTAATTTTGCTTAATAATTATAAAATTAACTTATTTATGGGAAAAAATGTCTGGTCAACATTTTATAAGGTCAGAATATATTATAAATGATCAACAAACATGACGTCAGCCGATGTGGTTTCCAACAAAAATTTTGTTTTGGAAAATATACGAACAACAATATACTAATTCTCACTAATACTGAAATTTGTTAACAGCTGAAATAATGGAGAAAAATGACTATTACTACGGTATGTCCAGCGGAAAAGTTAAGAAAGAAGAAACAATAAAACGACATTTTCTATTCAGCCGTAATGTTAACCATTTGTTTCTTCATTAATTCCAATTGTAGCTCATAAGTTATTAAAAAAAAGTTTTTAAAATATAGTAACTAGGACAAAGTAAACACGTTGATTGTAGTGATAATAAAGTCTGAATAATTAATTTATTTTGTAATATATTACGAAAAAATCATAGCTGCGTCAAATTTTGTTCCAATAATTATTATGATATGTATACCTAGCATTTTTATTCTTATCTTTTAAGTAATAAACTATATTATAAGAATAAACTTTCACAAATGATAATATTCACATAAATAATAGTACAAGTTGTCATTAATAAATATATTAATATATATATATATATATAAGTATTGAAGTTCAATAATGAATCAATGTCCAAAATTGTGTATTAATTGTATGTGATAAAATATAATTAACAACACAAATCAACTTAATAAAAAGACAATAATATCGTCGCTAACACTTTTTGCATACACTTTAAGATAAACAAAATAAAAAAGACAACTCCCGCAGTGCATCCACGACACTCACTGATTTCACTTATCAACCACTCGATTCATATGCAAGAAGTTAACAGTCACACTCATATTTAATTCTAATAAACAAGATAACTTATATTCATTTCCAAACGCTCACTGGAAATATCAATGTAAATACTAGTATTAACTAAAATAATAAGAATTAAAATCAATCATTTCTTTTAAGTACATAATGTAAGGACAAGGAAAGATTAAGTGACTATTAAAAAATAAAATATTAATTAAAGTAAATCAATAATGTTTGTACAGAGCTAATTGGCAGAGTTAGATCATTGATATGTGTCTATGTTAAGAACCAAGTTGAATGTTCATATAGTCAAAATATTACTATGGGTAGATATATAAGGTGACTCCATCCCACCTCCTATCATTTATAATCGTCAATACTCGTAGCATTATTGATATTATAAAATGTGACAATTAATCACGGTGAATTTTATATTAATAAATGAAGATCACTCAATTTTTTAACACTTTCTTTATTACTCTTATCAACCCTCGTATTCATTCCCCGAGAGACTTTATTTTAATCAACAAGTAGTAACTCATATCATCTAACCTAAACCAACACAGACAAATTATCATTCATTTAATAACTTCTTTCTTAACGAGTTACGATATAATAATAAATTATGATATCAAAAAAAAACAAAAAATGAATTCTATGCGTCAAAGGCTCATCTAAGCGTTAGCAACAGATTTATACAGATGTAAACAAAACATTTATAATAAATAATTACCTTTTGCTTTGGTGATTTCCTATACTGTTGATTGTAAAATTCTTTAAAGAGGAAGAAGAACATGACCGCGTGCATACCGATCCACCAGACGAAAGCTTTGGGGTAGTTGCAATCGATGAAGAGCAATTGGAAAGCATGTACCATAATTGCCACGAACTGGACCATCTGGAGACTAGTCAAATATTTCTTCCACCACAAGTACTTTTGCACGTTGGGTCCTAACGCCGCCAACAGGTAGTAAGTATACATAATAATGTGAACAAACGTATTCAATAGTCCAAAGAACGTGCTGTGGCCACCTACGCAAGCACAAAAAACAAGTAGAACATTAGTTTGTTTTTTATGAGTTATATCAGTCAAAAATTGAATTATTCGGTACACGAAAGGTCAAAGCGTTGCGAAGAAGCAATAATTTTTATATGCAACAGGAAGCTTCTGGTGCGGTCTAAGGTCTCGGCAAAGGTCGACGATTTTCAAATCACTGCGCGTTTACGATACTGTATTTATCACACAATTACTTTTTATTATTATTATTATCAATTAATACAATACAATTGATGGGTATTATTTTGTCGTTAAATAATATTGGAGGTCGGTACACACTATTGAGTTGATTTATGCGTCGACTATTTGTCCGTCAACGGTTGTAAATATCAAGTTTGTTTTTATTTACCTGGTGTGAATTTTACTCCGAACCATACGCTCATTGGCATCACTCCATGATGAATCACGTGCAAAGTTGATATATGCCTATCCTTTTTGCGAAGAACGAAGAATATCTGCATATCAAAAGAAAAATCCCATTCAAATTGTTTACTAATCAATTTTTCTAATTATTTCGTAAAAAATGATAATAGTAAGTTACCGTATCCATAAATTCGGTGAATTTTGAGAAATAGTACCACCAGCAGACGTTGACCATCTATAGTCATCGAAGAAAAACGCAAAAAAAAATATATGGTTATTATTTGTCTCTTAATATATTTTTGCGAAAAATCAGTTGAAAGAAAAAAATTTCGCGCAACTTGACACAAAAAAAGTTAATTGATCATAAAAAAATCTAATAATAAAAATAATAATCGATTTTTCTTTTCAAAAAATATATTATACATTAAACTAAGGTAATAAAAATAATTAAACATTATGCTGAAAAACAACGTATTTTTATTTATAATTATTGCGTTAACTCACCCGCAGAGTTGTAGGATCATCAGTGTAGTCCACCGGTTCACACCGAAAGCTATAGCGACCAGTCAACCAGCCCGACATGCTTAACTGTAAAACCACCACCAAACATATTGTACAATTTTTACAACTAAATTAATATACATACATACATACATACATAACATGTTAACATTTACTTGACTTTGTACATAGATACAGGTTGGACTAGCAAAAAAAAAATTAAGTCTCAAACTTTTAAACATGCTTATAAGAACAAAATTTTTATATCACATAATTCACATGCAAGTAAAAAACAATTAAGTTAATATTATGCAACAATTGCTAAACATTTTTTTAAGTAAAGCAAAAAATTATCATGGATAGTCCAACCTGTAATATACTAACCCATAAGTCATATAGTTTTAATATTATAAAAAACCCAAAAAATTCATTATTCTGTTATCTCCAATTCTACTGTTTGACAAATAATAAACTCTAAAACCATGTTGGATTTCGATATTCATTACATGAACAGGCAGTTATTGTGTAATATTATATATACAACATACGTGTGTCACTAATTACATATTTAATTATTGTCAATAATTTCCTAAAAGACAGAAGATAATAGAAGTTGCCCGAAAACAAATATCATACTGTGTTACACACTTACTCAAATGAGTGAACGTTTCAAATGTGAAAAAGAAAGTATGATTTAATCAATAGTTATGATACATTTTAGTTCATATGTTTCTCAATTTTAAAAAATTAACTTGAATAATATAAATTTAATATTATAAAAATAAAATTCCATTTTCTAAGTCAGTATAGTGTAAGGAAAAATAAAATATAATTTAACATTTGAGCAGTAAACCCCTTTTGTAATTTAACGAAATCAAATAGATAACTTATTATATGAACTCAAAATTGTTCTATGAATATGTAGTATTATAAAAGGAAATACAATTTAAAAGTCTGAAATAATTGTATTTATATATGTTTTTTTTTTTTTAAGAGAGAGATTAAGAGAATTCTTGTTATTATGTTTCATTTTTAATTAACAATTTGAAAAAAAAACAAAGGATTCATGAAAAATAAATTAAACAATGTCACTGTACACTACTAAAGTAGACTTGATATCTTTTTTATTGTCATACATGATATAACATTAATGATTTTGTTATTAGTAGTTACTCGTTAGAAATTGGCCAATTTCAAACTGATATAATAATACATGGTCCCTTTAAAGCTAAATTCTTGTACACCATAATTCGCAAAATATTCTATTATTATAGATCTAGGTAAAACTTAAAATGTTTATACATTTAATATGAGGTTTATAAATTTATTATATTAAAAATGAGAAGAAGGAAGTAGTTTTATAGTATAAAAAATATAGTGTTATTAACAGTCATAGAGAAAAAAGCATTAGTTCCTTACTGGACATTTTTTAAATCAAAATTCCAGTTAATAACATATTACAATAAATAAAATAAATCATGCAGTAATCAATTATATTGTAACTAAGATTTACTCCAAAAAAAAAAAGAAAATTATATATTTCTCCATAGTAGTTAAGTTAATTTAAGTGTTAATTTATTGCTTTCTGCGTAATATGCATTATATTAACATAGTTTTTCACATAATTTATCTTATAAAAATATGTGTTTCGTTGATTTAACCGTCAGCGCATAGCAACATGTGTCAAGTTTATGCGGCTTTTTTAGCCTTTCAAACATTAAATGAATACTCTTCCGGTCACTTACTCTAATGGTTGACGGTTTGTTGGAATAATCGACCGGTTGGCATTTCAAGCTATATTCGCCCCACCAGCCGCCCATCATACACTGTAATACACCCATCAAGTAAAAACATATAGAAAAAAAGTGAGAAATCATTTGAAAGGTTTTTCGTATATTGAAGAATGAAATAAGAAAATTAAAACTGAGGAAACTTACACCATACGAATGATACAAATATTATTTTTTTCAAGTTATTTAATTATGAAGTTATGATAAAAAAAGTTATAAAGAAAGAAAAAGTTGAATGAAACATGATGATTGAAATAAATAAAATATTATGATATGAATTACACTGTAAAGTTAATTAAGATAATAATGAACGATTGTGTATAATTCTAGAAATACCTAGATCTCAATGAATTATTGTAATTTGACAATTCTTTAAGTTAAATCTATAATAAAATAAGAAGAAAAGTTCTTGAGTTTTAAGTAGATATAATTATTATTATATTTAAAAAAAACCCAAATACTTTTATGTTTCTCTGTATAATAAGATTTAACTTGGTCTTTATTTTAATTTTATTCAACGAATTTCTAATCATTGTCGAGTTTCAAGTCAAACGTAACAGTGTTGTTTTTAGTCCCTATACTTTTGTTTTATTAAGTAAAATGTTGTGGATAAAAGATTTTAGTAAATTTTTAATTCCTAAAAGTGTGAAAAGTACCTAAATAGTAATTTTTGTTTAATTTATTTAAACGAATTACAAACATGGTTATTAAAGTATTATTTGGTGAGCTACAATATAATAATTTAAAAATAACTTATGTGTAATATGACATAATAAAAGGCTTAAGAAAAAGCCCGTACCTCATAAAACAACCAAGTACTGAATATAACTTGAAAGAGATTGTACAAGATGAGCAAGGATCGCAGTTCCATTGGTTTTCGATTGGCCATTAGTCTTGGGCCTAAATGTTTAACAGTGTAAACATAAGAAAGACATATCAATGCCGTTGGCAAGGGATTGCTCATCAAAAACCAGTCTTTTGTACGGTCATCTAAATTTAACAAAAGAAAAATATATCTTAGTTAATCAGTCACAGCATAATTAAGAGTTAATAATTAAGAGAAGAATTTTGAATATTATAGTAATAATGAGGGAAATCTTTTGGTTGACCACATAATGGAATTAAACTAGGATATATAATCGATTTATTCTTGCACAACAAGAATGACTAATATTAAAAATACGTTAACGTACATTGTCAGACATTAAATCTTAGTTAAGTGATGCAAGAAAAAATTGTGCGGATCATTTAAGAAAAAAATTAAGTCTATGCGTTTATCTTAAAACGGCAATGTCTTATAATATTAATATTAAAAATAATCATGCAATTCGCATAGTGAATTTGGCTAATTTACTTTAAAGTACATTTGAAAATTAGCTTTTAAAACAATTTCGTCAATGTCGCAATTAAATTTATATAACGTGTAACACACCTCATTGTCGTTACGGAGTTCATAAAAAAGTGTTTTTTATACAGTCGACTAATTTTATTTAATTTTAAAGTGTTTATAAACAACTAAACATAAGAATGCCATTTAAGGTTTTTTTTCACATTTACAATGACATATAAAGAAAAACAAAATTTACATTTATAAAAGTACTGACGATTGATTGTTGATCCATAGAATTTCAAACTCTAGAATGTAATTTAACAAAAAACATTTATTTCAAAAACTCACCTCCGTATTTGTCGAAGAACCCTTGAACGGCACCCAATACTTGCGCCATGGTAACTTTATGATACGTTGTAGATTTTCAACAAAATTTTCTTTTACTAAAAATTACCTGCGAACACGTTAGTGAAAATTAAAAAAAAATCACAAGTTCATAAAAATATCGACAAATGTATTCGCGGTCAACGACAAGCTGCGAGTTCGTTCGGTTGTCAGTTCAGACGGCGAATCGCGACTAAAGCGTTTTGCTTCAGTACTAGTAACGCACACTGAACATTTCTTCAAACCGGACACGACTCACATACGACGCTCACTGCTGGCCGGTTCTAATAGGCAACAGCATAATATTTGTTGTTTGGCAGGGTCAAGATCGCGAGGGATGCAAGGTCGACATCACCAGAGCGACAAAACCCGTTTCAGAGTAAAATACAAATTGGCTGGTACAATTTTTGCGCGAGGTAATTAAACTAGAAAAGTTAGTTCATTTGTATTTCCACGTGACAGTATCATAGTTCGTACTTTAATATTACACCGAAATAAAATGTCATACGAATCTAACTGGATCGGCCGGCCGACTTGGCATTCTAAATTTATGCTCTTCTTCTGGAGGAGTATTCAAGAAAAACTGGTCGCTCACGCGGAAATAGATAACAATTGGAATTATGTTAAACTTAAATTTCATTAAATTTTTTACGCAGATATTTTAATAAATGAAAGAATATTGAAATGACGACACGCTTTCCAAGCAGTCAATGCGGTGAAAATGTTTTAGTAGTCTCAAAATTATATAAAAAAATTGTTTACAATGGCTATTAGTATTTCATTATAATAAATTTTCATATTATTAACAGTACAATATAATTACGAGTAATATTATTATTGTTGTTGTAACTGAAATGAGCGACGAACCTTTAAAAAGTGATATTGTATACAATACAACAAATAAAATGAAGAATATTGTCGCAATTCAAAAAATCTATACACGAGGTGATATTCAATGAACTATGCTAAATTATTTTATAATAATAGATTACATTTTTTTGTAGGGAATATAATTATTTCCTGAGAGGCTTATTCGCCTCGCCTTTCATTTGACTTCAATGAACAAGCAAATTTTGAGAAAACAGCCTATTCAATACTATACAAATAATTTATTTTAAATAATTTTTTAAGTTTTGGTTTACATTAAAAATATATTTCTTTTTATTTGTCTGTAATAAGAATATATAATTTAAATCAAATTAAGATATTTTATTTTTTCGAAATTTCATAATAACTATTTTATATTAATTTTTTTGCAGTACATTTTAATGGGTCGATAATAACTTTAGGATAAGTACTTATAGATAACAAACATAAAGTGAGTACATAGCGCGAGCCGAGTTCAGCTCGTATTAGTGTATTGTGCACTCCGCTTGCGTTCCATATATACTTTATGTATTAAAATGCTTATAAATTAATAAGTATTTGTTCTAAAGTTGTAATCGACCCAACATAATAACTTGTAAGATAAGGGCTCAAAAATAACTATTTTTTAAAATTTCAAAAAAATGTTTAAATAAAATGTATATTATTTTTTTCTATTAGTGATAAATAAAAAAAATGCTTACACGTAGTTCAAAAATTTTTAAATTAATTTGAAAAAGTAGCACAAAACACTTGCTAAATCAAAAGTTAATAATGATTTTAGAACCTGATGGGACATCCTTACTTATCATGTAATTTTAATGATTTAGATAAAAATGAGTAATACAATAGATAGACTTTAGCTAGTCATCAATACATTCATTAATCGAAAGAAAATCGTATGAGTGGCTAGTAGACTTTTAGATAAAAAAAAATCATATGAAATGTCTGGGATGCAAAAAAAATGTACCAAGATATTTTAGATGAGGTATACAGAATACATTCTGTAGGTATTCAAAAATTTGTAATCTGTGTGATTCTTAAAGAACTTATACGTTCTTAGCCGACTTATCAATAATTTATTACCAAAGCACTAAAAAATTATTTAATCACATAATATTTTCTATTAATACTTATTAAATCTCAAGACATATATTAGACGTAGATGTCTATGATCAAAACAGGTTATTAACAAAAAATGATTATAGAGCTGCAAAAGCTATTTACGATCATCAAATTCTGTTCTAAATGAATAATTTTTTTTATTTAGTGAAGTGCCTGAATAGTAGATATTAAAAAGATAATTAGCAATCATTTTTCTTGCTGGCCTCCAATTAGAAGGTCGACGAAAAAGACGAGTTCTTTGAGTTTACACTGAATATTTATTCAGTGTAAATATACGCGGTGATCAGGTACGAAACGGTTTTACTGTACACACCGGAACATGATTAAATAACATGATCAGCTACTAAAACCGATACAAATATTTAAAATTTAAATTAAATGTCTATTGAAAAGATTGTTTTGATTTCTACTATTTCCGTATAATAGGAAAAAGACCTTCGCTTATTTCGTCACTTCCATAATACAGTTAAATTTTATTAAGAAAATAATTTAAATAAGATTCATTGTGTTATTTTTTTCATGCCTGAGAAAATATACAGAGTGATTTCTTAACTACGCCACGTGAAATATTTTCGAAAATATTAAAACTAATCATTATTATTTTATTTTTTTAACAATAAAGATCCTTTATTGAGCTGCTTTACACGAAAAATGAATTTTCCATCCTTTATACTCGTATAAAACTTTATTTAAACTCGTAACTTTTGATTTTCAATATATTTCATGAAGCGTAGTTAAGTATTTGCTCTGTACAATGGGTACATCCAACACTATACTGTTAAAGCCATCCAATTTCATATAATAAAGATAATAAATCAGAATGACTAGCACCAGCTTAATATCAAATTGAATAAAAAAATAAAAACCAAATTGATTTCAAATTGAATTAATTCTTATGACAAATTGATTTTAATAACACCATATTTTAGACATAATAACGATAGTTAACAGATAATAGTATCTTATATCACAACCTTGTTTAATATTCAAATATAACATAAACATAAATAAAACACATTCTGTACTAGAAAAATTTATTTTTAAAAATAATGAGGAAACATAGATATTGTAAAATTTATAAAACAAACCGGAACTTCAAAGTTCCTGTATAAATTTGAGAATAATTTTATTAGTATATGCCTAATAAAAATAATATTGAAATATTTCAACAAATTTAGTTTATGAAGATCAAATAATAAAATAAACTCACCTGTGTTCTATTTGCGTCTCGCAAAAGACTATAATGATCATTGTGATCACGAAATAATGGATGTTGTATATTTTATAATTTTGTATATATGGTTAAACCTTGAGAGAATCGGGTCGGTCCGGTTTATAACTTTAATAATAAAACACCCTGTATATTTTCAATCTCTTCCTATATATTAGATATTACCCAAGAAGGGGGTAAAGAGGAAAATATGTTCCATGTTTGTAAAAACAAGTTGTGCCAGTGTTGAGTTTTTCATTATCAAGTTCATCATTAACTATTACATAAATCATGAAGTTGTCATATTCAAAATTAAATGTTTGATCTAAAATCTTAAGATAAACATTGTGTAAGTAGTAATGATCAGAACACAGAGGTGGACTTGCGTTAAATTGCTCCCTGAGCCGCCACCTATGCGATGTGGGCCGTTTAAATAGCAAAATTGTGTCAACTATACCTAACAATATATATATATAATATATATAATATATATATTATTATTTTTTAACCTTTCCAAAGTTTAATCATTTTCGTTGATAAGCGTTGATCTGTGTATATTCTGAATAATTTTATGTATTACTATTGACAAAAACAATTGAAAGTAAGTTGAATTTTTAATTATTATGATTTGCAAAGTATTAAAATTTTTTTTTAAATACCTATTTTATAATCGATAAAAAAATGTTTGAAGCGAACAAATTTTGTACCCCTTAAGTCGTTGGCCTTTCATCCACCCCTATCAAAACATTTTGAAAAAAATACTGAACAAAATTTTAAAGTATTTAGACCGACAGTATTTAGAACACGTCGAACAACATTACATGATATAAAATGCTTTAAGCAACACTGAGTGAATCATAAAATAACATAAGAAATATACACACAACAATAATGCACAACGTCTATTATGTACTTTTAATTCATCACAGGCATTCTCTATACTCAAAACAATTTAATTTTCATAAGTTTTATATTATTTACTTATATACGCTACTTTTAACAATTAACTAAAATTATTACTCAAGAAACAATTCAAATGTCTGTTGAAAATTATACCATTACTCATCTTTGTTCTTTCCCAAATGATTTCCTAATATACAAGTAGACAAAACATCATTAAATTATTACAAATAGTGATTAGTTGTTTTATTGCTGTTATATTAAATTTATATACAATATTTAAAATATAAACCCGATCTGAAAATCGAATTTGACTAAAAAAATTACCAAGTTATTATAATTTTTATTTTATAAACATTATATATAAAAAAAATTTATTTGTCTCTTATCTCGTCCAAGTAATTAAATATAACGGAAATAATGTATTCTTCATAAAAACTTGCTCATATTTAAATATTAATACACAAAAAATTAATATGATTCGTTTTAGTATTTTGTTTTCACGGTTATGCGACCAATCAATCATGAAATTCTTCAAAAAACACAAAAAAGTCAATTATTTTCACATAAATGTAACAACACCTGTCATATAAAACAGGTATTCATTCGTGGAATTAACGTTTTTTAATTTTTAATAAATTGATCAATTAAAGTCAGTTGGAAAAAATATTTTATTTATTAGCATCATTCTTAGAAAAATACCACAAATTAGGTATGACTTGGCAACACACAAATGTTTTCATGAATTAGTAATCAAGACAATATCATCAAAACGTGTAATCTAAAATGTTTTACTTTAATTTATGTTATACTTGAATATAAGTACACAGTTTTCTTCACTTACAGGTCTAAGGCATAGACTCTATGCCATTTTGAAGTTTTATTAATAATTATATGATTTTGATTATTAATACATGTGAATATTTATCAAAGTATCAGGTTTTTTTAAACCTCTTTTCCTCAGCGTTTAGTAATTTTGATTTATAATTGCATATCCTAACACAGAAGTGCTTAATTTTAGCCATCTAATATGAACATGTAAAACATAACTAACTACTCAGTAGAACGTTAATCGAATTCCGATATTCTTACACACAACCTGCTCTCAGTCAAACTGTAGACCCCCTCATTACTCTACATCACTAATTAAATGCTTAAATAATAGATGTTTAAATAGCGAACTGAAAAAATTTATATTCTCATACTAGTTACAATGTATTGTATATTAAATACTTGTATATTATTTAAATTTCATAAATACCGGTTTTTGATT